GGCCATGTTGACTTTTCAGGAGTTGAGAGTGAGGACCGGCAGAGTCGTGCTCAGGTCCAGGGCGAATGTGTATATAAGATTGATCAAGATTCCGAAGGGATAGTTTCGGGCAACAAATTGCAAGTCAAAGCTGTGGCTGTCCTGCGCAATTGGCTTTTGCAGAAGCAGATTCCTCGGTGCTCGGCTCATCGACATCCCCCTGCTAGGCGGGCAGGGCGGGCCACACGCGGATATCGAAGGATCGGCGACTTCTCGGATCCTATTTTACAGGCCAAGGAGAGCCGCTGGCAACTCTGGACCTCTGGACGAGAAGCGCGAGTCCTTGGTTCTTCTTAAACGATAGGATGCCCACCTCCTGCCTCCCCAGCCTCCCTCGCCAGCCAAAAATGATCCAGTCTAGAACGCCACGAACACCATGCGATTTGAGCTGCAGTGGCTGCCTGTGGCTGATACCAACTTGTGGCTTGAGATTTTCCGTGGCGCAGCAACCGGACTCTGACGTCGCTCACTACGGGATCCAGCCATCCTGCGCAAGTTGCGACCCTTTGGCGCCCACTTTTCACGCAGTCATCCATTCAACTGGCGACAACCGATAATGCCCAGCATTCAAGTCCAAGTCAAGGATATATTAAGAATCTTCGATAGCCGCCCTAGATTGTACTCCTAAGGTTTGATTTCTTTGTTTCGTCGCCCAGTTTTCCCTCGCCGTGCGCAAAAAGTGTCTGTTACCCCTCTCTATCCTTTCGAACGTTAACCGGTACTTTGGTACCATCTTGCGTTGGCTGTCTATCATGTCTGCCGGTCATTCTGAACCGCAGGTGCTCTACAGCGTCAACAATATCTCTGCCTATTCTGTCCAGAATGGAGAGGAACATCTGATCACGACGTCGGGCCCTCAGACATTGTCGCTGCTGATGGTGCCGACTGCGTCACCTTTTGCCGACTTGTCAACCACAGAACCTACCAGCGCAACGCCCGAAGAAGATTTCTACCTCCACCTTCATCTGCCTCCGGAACTAGATCTCCCCCTGCCTGCTACTACCCAGATCTATCACAAACCTCCCAGCAGTTACCTGATACCGCGATGGGATCTGGGGCCTGACGCGGGGGCTTTTATCCGTCTGCAGTTCCCTTCCGTAGGCAGCGGGCCGGGAAAGGTGACGCAAGACGAGGTAGACACATTTGAGACCATTCTTGCCCAATGTACGGCGTTCCTGGAACGTGTACATAGCACACCTCCAGGATTCGAGCGCTACGATCCGAGCAATTATCGACCGGGAGAGGGTTATATTGGGACACCCAAGCCTGAAAAGGAGCGCCCTCACCAACATGGCCAAATTGTGCTTATTGACGAAGAGAATGGAAGCGTAATCGGAGAGCTTCAGGACAACTACACGCTGGTTGAGGAGACATCGGTCAAGCCTGGATCGAAAAGTACGTGTGTCTACTTCTCCCGTCTTTGGGTTTTACTGACAGGTTGTACACAGCTCCCGTCCAGATACAGCTGCCTGTCGAAGGGCAAGGCAATCAGATTCGGGTCGACAACGTTTCCGAAGATTATCTCGAGATGTCGAAACATCCGGCTTACGCGAAGTCGCGAGTCGTCCAAAGCTCTGCGACCGCCTCCAGGCTAATTGTGACGAGTTCCTCTTACCTGGCTAATAAGATGTCATCTGGCGCAGACTCATTCCAAAGAAAAACCCAGCCGAATCCCAAGCCTATGACATTCTCCCCTGCCACCCACGCGCGCATTCGTCAGATCCATTCCTTTACTCAGGGGGCTGTTGGTCTCAGCGCGAAGACGGTTGGTCAATTGGGTAGATATGCCCAGAATTTCGGGGCCTCACTGGCTCGGAAAGGAGAAAAGAACAGAAAAGAGCTGGGCAAGGATTATAAACCTGGCATTCTCAACAAATCCATGATCGCTTTCTCCACCATTGCTGATGGCATCGATCAGGCAGGTCGCAACCTTCTGGCTTCAAGCTCGGCGGCGGCGACGAACGTAGTCAGCCACAAATACGGCAAGGAGGCCGGTACCGTGGCGCAAGGCCTGGCTGGTGGTGTCAAGAATGTGGGGCTTGTCTACATCGATGCCATGGGCGTGTCCCGCCGAGCAGTAATCAAATCCGTGGCGAAGGGCATGGTGGTCGGCCGCATGCCAAACGGGCAACAACTCGTGGTCGGCTCCGGAGACGGAGGCATTGTGCCAGCCGAAGCATATATGCCCGACGAAAAGCGGGACGATTATTATGCCTCGTCTTATTCAGGAGCGTCCCAGAGTGGTGCAGGACAGCCCGGGTATGGAGTTGAAAGTTATGGCAACGCGGTCAATGCACCGCCTTCATATCCTTCGGGGGTCGGAGAACCTTTGGGCTCAACACTGCAGGGTCAGCATGTGCGGGAGAAGTGATGACACATTTTTAAGATGCTTTGATTTGGTGTTTCATGAGACGATGAATGATAGTGGTTCGGGCCTAGCTTTTGGGACCTTCCAAGCCTTTCTCAGATGCTTCCGGTATGAATGTTTCAAGCTGGCTGAAGCAAGGTAATGGTCAACTTGCAGGCCAATGAGATGATGGCAAGTATCGGCGCGGGTCGCGTTCTGCTACCTCGTCCGTACCCTCGGTTCGTTTTCTTCTCCTTTTCAAACCGGATTGAGCATGGATTGCAGATTGCATGCACGACATTCGCTGGGCCCAAGTGGCTGAAACCGAGACACATTATTATTGTCTTTCGACTCGACTCGAACACACGTACCGAGTACTAGTCGCTTGACCGCCATTTCGTCACTTTGGGTTGCCACTTGGTCCCAGTAAACTTCAAGCATGCTTTGAGAATCGCATTGGACTTGAACAGAGTTCCTGACTGCATCTCATTCAATCGTCCCGAGTTTGTCTGTCCTGCACGAATTAGACTTGCATTATATGCACAGAAGCAACGGGCGCTGATGCACTGATGCGCTGCAGGATTTAATGTAAAATGTTCACATGTGTCGATCTTGGACTCGAGGATGGTGGACCTGCTGGGGACTCTGGGGCGCGGCTTGTTACCCTCGGGGCTTACTTACTGTCCTCGTATAGGTGTGGCGCAACTGTATTGGGCCAAACAGGGGATGCCCCAGAAGGAGTTCGTTCTAGCCGTAGTCACCAAAACCCACCGAGAGTGTAACCAGCCCCAGTTGCACTTTGCCGACGCGTGGTTGGTCGAGCCACTCTGGATGGCCCCGAGGCTCAGGTGGCTCGCCCACTCGCCCACAAACCCCCCAAGCAAATCACGGGTCACACCTGTGGGCACATGGTCTTTGTTCCGCCCATTGCGGCTGCGCGTCAAACGCCTCCCAGAGTACTCGCGTTTGGAGATTCTCGCGCAGATGAAATTTCGCTACAGGAAATCATGTTCGCTGTTGGAAGGAGACGGTGGATTTTCTTTCTCCCACCTTGACTTCAGCTTGGGGTACGAAGGAGAATCACCATCTCACAGACGGCAGGGGAAGGCGATTTAATAATAACAATGGTTCGACGCCGTTGACGCGATGATCAGTCACGTTCACGTGTACATAGGTACAGAGAGGCTCGGGTGATTGTTGCGCTGAGATTGGGTGGATCTGGCTCCGGGCCCCTATTCTCGGCGTCAAGGTCATTCCATAACTGGGGACAGAGTCATTCTTAACAGAGACTACCCAAGGTCTCTCTGCCTCTGTCCTCAGTAGCATGTGTCGTTCGGATCGAATGGAAAAGGGAAACACCATCATCAGTCACATTTTTGAGGGTGCGCAGCCCGCCCGCCTCCACAGGCTCCAAGGTGTACAATGCTTCTTCTCAAACGCGGTTTGACTTTCTCATTGACATCAAAGAGGACCATGTGGTTCATTCATGCTTAATGTGGAGTGGATTCCCTTAATACCCTGAGGCCCCATCTCTACACAGGATAATTGCCCTGCGTACAGCACCCAGCGCGTCAAGGTATCCGGTACAGAGAAAGCGGACGTTGTAGTTGTAGAGGAATGAAACAGGCAGTAAAGAGCTTCTTTTCAAGTATGTAGAAATCCGGAGTCGATGTTCGGTTCAAGTAGTTAACAGCCCTAGCAAGCCTAACTGTGATTAACAAGAAATCGCTTGCTGGCTAGCGTGGCCAATTTTCCGGCCACCCTTTTGGGGGGTTTTGGGCGGACAAGCGAGTTGGCTGCGCTGCTGCTGCGCTGCTGGTGCTGGGATTGCTGCGTTGTCCGTCTTCTCACCGGTCAACCACAACAACTCGCAATCATCTGTCCTGCCGCACTTCTCCCGCCAAACAACAGCACCGTGCTTTTTTATTCGATCCCTAGAAGCAACAAAATAAAAACATACGAGTCTCCTTCGCTGTCTCACCGCCTATCCGTCCTGCTGGCCAGTCACCACCCATCCACCTCCTTTGAGCACCTAGGTCGATTCTACCCTAACCTCAAAATCGAACGACTTCGATAGACCTACACTGTACCCGCGATAATGACCGCAGTCCTGCCTGTGCCTCGCCTCACTTCGTTCCCTGTCTGTTGACATCCGGTTGACTGGCCTTCCTTCATCTTGTTGCAGACGTCGCAGGCTCGGCGTTCATCCTTGACCCTTCGCCCAGAGTTTGTTGTCCTTTGGGCATTCGAACACTAGCTCCCTGCTTCACTGGTGCCAACAGTGATCCAGCGATCTCACACCACATCGTGCCCTGAACGCCCTCCACACCGAAGCGTGCTCTTCATAATTTGGGCCTCTGGATGAGTTGGAACGGTCCCTCGGTGAGTAGGCTGGAGTCGTTAGCTCAGTGCAGCCACTAACCTTGTCATTCAATTTAGTGTACAACCCTTCACTTCACCACGTTCCTGCATCCTTCAGACAGCAGATCCTCGAACTTTACCTTTGGCGTATCCTGATTCTGGCTTTTTAAGGTGCGAGTGCGTGGTCGACCCCACGACTCTGGGTGGTTGAAGGATGTCTACGGACACGGCTGGAGGTCAATACCGGCAACACATGTCAAGCGCTGCTGCGTACTCGCAAGCTGAAAGCTATCACTATGAACATCAACATGGCGCAGATCCTGAGCGTTACTACTCGAATCAACCTGTAAGTCCTGGGCGCGCTGTGGAATCAATATAAGAGAGGGACTTCAGCGCAATACTGATATTCGTGCTTCCTAGTACTACCCGTCGCAAGACGACGATGACCTGAACTACACCTCTCACGAAGACCATACTCCTATCACCACCGCCTCATATGACAACCCAGCAACGACGTTGCCTTATCACATTCGCAATCAATCGACTGCCCATGACCAATACGATGGCGCGCCGATTCCTCCTCCCAGGACGTCCTCTCAACAGCAGGGTTCTCCACGTACCCCTGGGGCTCCCTCATCTGCCCCATTGGAGGCAAGAGTAGCTGCAACACGACAGGCGAGACAAAATGCACCAGATTCACACGCTGGTCGGGTTCAGAATCGTGTCGGAGATTACAATGAAGAAACGCGAGATAGGTCACGGGATGATACCGCAACGGCTGCTGCATCTGCTGCACGTAACCGACGAAAGGGTCCTGCCAGTCCCGAGGGTCCACACCGTGCCGCGAGCACAAGAGAACGAGGTGCACACACCGCCCCAACTCAAAGCCGATCTGAAGCCACCATGCATCCATCCAACACCGCTGCGACGCTGGCGCGTGAGTACAGCGATGTCATCAGCAGGGTGGTCGTATCTGATCCACAGGAAGATATTGAAAGAGCTCAAGAGAGAATAGCCGAAGCTCAACCCATGAACCCAGAGACTCGACACGTACCGGCTCTGGACGACGATCTTCTTCCTCCTCCAGGGCCAGCTCGTCGGCAAGACTACTCCAAATCATCTCGCCGCAAGGACGTCCAATTTGGGGACTATGTGCTTGGCCAAACGCTAGGTGAAGGTGAATTTGGTAAGGTAAAATTAGGTTGGAAAAAAGACGGTAGCACTCAAGTGGCCATCAAGCTCATTAGGAGAGAGACTGTGGCTTCCAACCCGACACGACTTCCCAAGATCTATCGTGAGATTTCCATCCTGCGGGATCTGGCGCATCCCAACATTGTTCGACTCCACGAAATGGTCGAGACAGAACGACACATTGGCATCATTTTGGAATATGCTTCTGGTGGCGAGCTCTTCGACTACATTTTAAATCACCGATATCTCAAGGATCCTGCTGCTAGGAGGCTGTTCGCTCAGCTTGTCTCTGGCGTCGGCTACCTTCATAAGAAAGGAATCGTCCACCGTGACCTGAAATTGGAAAATCTTCTTCTCGACCAGAATCGCAACATCATCATCACAGATTTTGGATTCGCCAACACATTCGACCCCAAAGACGAGCTGTCTGATGAAATTGTGTACAATCTTGGTAACAAGGAGTTTATCAGGAAGTTCAAGCTTGACCGACTTGACGCCCGCGGAATGAGGAGAGGTGACCTGATGCAAACCAGTTGTGGCAGCCCTTGCTATGCGGCCCCTGAATTGGTAGTTAGTGACTCTCTTTATACGGGGAGGAAGGTTGATGTCTGGAGTTGCGGTGTTATTCTGGTGAGTACTTGTGATCATGCATTCTCGTTTGTCTGCGCCCGCTAATGCCTTTTCAAGTATGCCATGCTGGCTGGATACTTGCCCTTCGACGACGATCCTGCAAACCCTGAAGGCGACAACATCAACCTCCTCTACAAGTACATCACCACGACTCCATTAACCTTCCCGGAATACGTCACTCCCCATGCACGAGATCTTCTTCGCCGTATCCTAGTTCCAGATCCTCGAAAGCGCGCCGACTTATTTGAGGTCGCTCGACACAGCTGGCTCAGTGAATACCAGCACGTGGTATCCGACATGACTAGCAGCACCACCAATGTCGCCGAGATCCCACACGGTAGTGTTCGAGCTGGTAAGTCGTTTATTGTTATTGACATGGCATAGTATTAACTTGTGGCAGAAGATGATGAACGGCCCGCCGTCAATAGAAGCGCATCGGTACGTGAAGTACCGGCGAAACATAGTCGAGCTTCTCCTGCCGCACTTGCACGTTCCCCAGAAGCGCTGCTACACGAAGGTGATGAGGATTCTACCGGTTCACGGCGGACCCGCCATACCTTACAACCAGAATATGTCCCTCCTCAGACTCATACGGCCCGTGGGCAATCCGCCACAACGACAGAACCGACAGTCAGTCGCACTCAGGAAGTGCCCCAAGGTATCGCTGCTATGCAGCCAATATCGTTATCGAAACCACTGCCTCAGGACCCTCCCGTCAATCTTTCACGAGGAGAAAGAGTGCCTTCGCAACAGAAGATGCCGCCTGTACGTCCAGTTCGAGAGATTCCTAGATCGGTATCAGACTCAACCAGTGCATTTGGCACAGCTCCGGCGCCGACCAGCCACTTCGTAACCAGACCTAGCACCCAGGGTTCAATCACATCTGCAAGTGGCCCGGTCAATACCAGATCCGACCTTCGTCTACCCTCTCGGGGATCGTATGGTCAGCCGGTGGCGCCAACAGTGGCTGCAACCAATGTTCAGGGTCGCGTCACGCAGCCTACGAAGACCAGTCGAGGTTACAACATTTCTGGTCCTCTGCCACAATCCGGTGCGCAGAACTCCATTGGACAACCGATGACGACGCCTATGCCGCCGCCTAGTTCGCATCAACCGCAGAAAACCGCTCATCACCGACGTTCAAGTACATTGAGTGGGCTAGGAGAGCGGCTCTTTGGCAGATCCAATTCCGTTGTGAAGAAAGACGTAGAGCGACAAAAGAACGGGCGAAAGTACCCGCCCACCAGCATGAAGGAATACCCCTCGGATGCGCAACCCCGGATGTCAACAGAATCCAAGCGATCCTTCTCGTTTGGGTTGGGCAAGAAGAGGAGCACGGATATGGAGAACCAAGCGCAAACGGAGAAGCCGGTACGACGATTTTCACTTATTCCTAGTTCGATGTCGTTCAAAGGTCTGATGGGGAGTGCAAAGGACGAATATTCATCCAAACCAGCCACCCCGCAAGCTGAAAGATTTGCTCCTCCGGCACCGGGGCGACCGACAACCAGCCAGGAACAGATCGTCCAACATATTGCGAACACTGATGGACAGTATGAAGGGTCACGGCCGGTCAAATACAACAACTTTTCACGACCGCCTCAGTCCCAGTATCAGACACCACGATCTGCCACCACGCAAGCCATGAATGACGTCTATGGCGGAACGGCTGTCTACGCTCCGCAGGGGCAGACCGTACACCAACGCCAACAGAGTGAGCCCATGGCACAAATGATGGCATATCCCGACGTTGTGCAACCAAGTGATCGACCGTCAATCCAACAAGGTCGCCAGGCTCGGGGAGTCTTGGTCAAAAACAATCGCAAGTTTACTGAAGCATATGATCAGGAGCAGGGACCGGCACACCACGGTGGAAGGTCCGGAGCCGTTAAGAAGGTCCAAGATTTCTTCCGCCGACGTCGAGCTCCCACGGACGGCGACTATCGATGAATGCGCTCGTTGCGCTTGGGCATGTATCTTTCTCCTGTTCTGCAGGAGAGGTCAAGAAGATTCTGGGTTGGTGGATTGGGTTCAGAGGGTGGATATCGACGTTTCTTGTAATCAATTAATCATTGGCGGACATTGTTTTCCACCCCGTGTCAATCTGGGTGCGAATTTGGCGGAGGCCTTTGCATTCAACAACCACCCTTTTGTCTTCCGTTCACTCCTCCTGAACGAGGGTGGGAATAGGAGATTGGGCCTGTGAATCCCATTGGACTTTGAAAGGTCATTCTATGTGTCAGAGTACAAAGTAAGTCAGATTCATGTCGTTAGCTGGCGGCGTTCTTTTTTTTTCGCTAGGAAAGGCCGAGGATGCAAAGAAACCCGGCTTGTTGAGACTTGTACTGGAGCTTTTTCGAGGGCTTGGACTTGACATTGGGGGCATTTGATTCTTCGCTGGCACGGGATGGTTGAAGAGACTTGAGGGATCGGAAAGATGGATACCCCCCCTACGTAGCATTGTATGATTGTGTTTTTCAACAGGAAGGATGCACAGGCACAAGACAAGCAGACAGACACAAACCACAAATCAGAAACTCAACAGGTACTCTAAAAGGGAGGTTACTTTCGGACTATTGCTCGGTGTTTTCTCTTTTATTTGAATATTGTGTGGGATGTGCTGCGGTCATCTTCTACATGCAGGAAAGTCACATCCTCTCACAAGCCCCATTCAGGCCAAGCTTTGTGGAGTTGAGAGCGGAGGAGCTTGTTCCTGGATCTTGTCGACTACCACCTTTGTCGCTTCTGAGAACCGTCACCATTACCTGTTTCTTCACTAGACGCTCTCGTCCTCCCCGCAATATGGCAATCCTCCATTCGACCATCAACGTCATCTGCCACCTGCCTGTCACTATCGTCTCTCGAGCCCAGGAAATGGTACCCGCCTGAGAAGAGATGGGCCGATTGTACACACTCCACCAAGAGGCAAAGAGCTGCCGGAAACTGGGTCTGATTGCCCCCCGCGGGGAAATTTCCAACTGGTGCTTCGTCCTTGAAAGGTTACATGGCGAGAATACAAGGCTTCTTCTGGCTGGATGATGAGAAGATGGTGGATGTGTGCGCCACTGACGAACACCTCCCTCTCTGTCTGGTAATCATCCTATGCACAGACACCGCAGTCCATCCACTGGTGCCCCTCACAACGAGTATCCCACTGGCCTCAACACAACCCACCTCGCTTCTCTTGATAAACTCCCTGTAATCCTCATCTTGTGGACATGCTTGAGCCCAACGTGAGTTTCATCATCACAGTTTCGTATCGTGCCTTTAGCAGTCACTAGCTGTAAAGAAGGACTGCAAGATGAGGTCGACATCGCTATTTTCTCTCCTGATTCCTGCCTCTTACCTCGTTGCAGCACAGTCTTCCACGGCGACCAGCGCTGCGGCCCAGTTCACTGTCCCAGCAAGTGCTGACTTCGGTGTCACCCTTCTTCCTAACATTGATGACCCTACTGCGGCCAATGCCCAAGTCAAATGTCCAGGCTATACGGCCTCACAAGTGAGCACGTCTTCGACCGGATTGACGGCCCATTTGACTCTTGCTGGCACGGCCTGCAATGTCTATGGGACTGACATCCATGACTTGGACTTGACGGTCGAGTACCAGACCTCGTCACGGCTGCACGTCAACATTCGGCCTTCCCATATAACCTCCCAGAACCAGAGCTGGTACCTTCTCTCGACCGACTATGTTCCAGCTGGGAACCAGAGCGGTGGCTCAGTGACCACAAGCGACTTGACATTTTCTTGGGCCAACTCACCCAGCACGGGGTTTGGATTCAACGTAACCCGCAATAGCACTGGGGACGTCTTGTTCTCGACGACTGGCGCAAAACTGGTCTTTGAGAACCAATTCATCGAGCTCGTTACGCACCAGCACGAGAATTACAATCTCTACGGTCTGGGAGAGGTCATTCATGGGTTGAGACTGGGAAACAACCTCACACGCACCATTTACGCCGCCGATGTTGGCGATCCAATCGACCAAAACCTATACGGGAGCCATCCATTCTACCTCCAAACCAAGTATTTCGAGGTCGGCAGCGACAACAGTACAACTCTCCTGACTGAGCAGCTCGACACGACCGAGGCTACCGGAAATTACACCTCCTTCACCCACGGGGTCTATTTCCGCAATGCTCACGGCATGGAAGTCCTCCTAGAAGCCAACAATGTGACATGGAGAACATTGGGCGGCAGCATCGATCTGTATTTCTTCTCCGGACCAACACAGCCGGACGTGACGAGTCAGTATCTGAATGTGATAGGCATGCCAATGCTGCAAAACTACTGGGGGTTTGGTTACCATCAGTGCAGATGGGGATATCAAAACTGGACTGTCACAGAAGCCGTTGTCGACAGCTATGAACGCTTCGGTATTCCACTTGAAACAATTTGGAACGACATTGACTATATGTTTCAATACCGAGATTTCGACAACGACCCCGTCCGCTTCAACTACTCGGATGGTAAAGCCTTCCTCCAACGTCTCCACAAAAGAGGCCAACATTATGTTCCTATCATCGATTCTGCCATCTATGTTCCTGATCCAACAAACGCAAGCGATGCATACCAGCCGTTTGATGACGGCAATGCTACCAATTCATTCCTCCTCAATCCAGACGGGTCACTCTACATTGGCGAGGTTTGGCCTGGTTACACCGTCTTCCCGGACTGGCTCCAGCCATCTGCCCGAGCATGGTGGAAGAACCAGATTGTCACTTGGCATCAAAAGCTTCCTGTCGACGGTGCTTGGATCGACATGAGTGAAGTATCCTCATTTTGTGTGGGAAGCTGTGGTACTGGAAATCTCACGCTCAACCCGGTCCACCCACCCTTCGGCCTCCCTGGCGAGCCCGGCAATGTTATCTACGACTATCCGGAAGGCTTTAATTTGACCAATTCCACCGAGGCTGCTTCGGCCTCTTCAGCTTCTCAAGCCCAGGCGACGCCAACTTCGACCGCCTCAGCGTCAAGCTCAAGCTCGTCTTCGTCGACAACAAGCTACCTGCGCTCAACACCAACGGCAGGACAACGCAACATCAACTATCCACCTTATGTGATCAACCATGTCCAAGGAAACCACGATCTAGCTGTGCATGCGGTATCTCCAAATGCCACACACCACAATGGTATTCAAGAATACGACGTCCACAACCTCTTCGGCCATCAAATCCTCCAAGCTACATACGCTGGACTCTTGGCTGCGATCCCCAACAAGCGACCTTTTGTCATAGGGCGGTCCACATTTCCCGGTTCAGGCACTGTGGCAGGCCACTGGGGCGGCGACAACGCTTCCAAATTCTTCTACATGTACTTCTCTATCCCACAAGCTCTGTCGTTCAGTCTCTTCGGCATCCCAATGTTCGGCGTCGACACCTGTGGATTCAATGGCAACTCGGACGAAGAGCTGTGCAATCGGTGGATGCAACTATCAGCCTTCTTCCCCTTCTACCGCAATCACAACACGCTCTCTGCGAACCCCCAGGAGGCGTATGTCTGGAGTAGTGTTATCGATGCCACCAAGACAGCCATGAATGTGCGCTTCCAACTACTGCCGTATCTGTACACACTGTTCTACTATGCGCATACACGAGGCGATACAGTCATGCGTGCCCTGGCATGGGAGTTCCCCAACGATCCCAGCCTCGCGAACGCCGACAGACAGTTCTTCCTCGGCCCATCAATCCTCGTCAGCCCAGTCCTCACGCAGGGTGCGACCAGTGTGGATGGCGTGTTCCCTGGCCTCGTGGAAGGCACTGATACTTACTACGACTGGTACAACAAGTCGCCTGTCGCGATCCCTAGCACGAAGAACACCACCATCGACGCACCCTTGGGCCACATCCCCGTGTTCATTCGCGGTGGCAGCATCCTGGCGACGCAGCAGATGGCCTTGACGACGCGTGATGCGCGCAACACCTCTTGGAGCATCATAGTCGCCCCCAGCGTGGAAGGCACTGCCAACGGATCGCTGTACCTGGACGACGGCGAAAGCCTGACCCCGAACGCCACCAAGATTGTGACCCTGACGAGCTCCCGCTCCCCGCAGAACGGGACATTCAGCCTCAACGTCAAGGTCTCGGGATCCTACACCGGCCTCGACCTCCCGCTCACCAACGTGACCTTCTTGGGCGTGCAGCGCCCCCCCGCCAACACCACGGTCACCATCAATGGCCGCGCCGTCGCCAACGCCACGTACAACGCCGCGAGTAAGGTCTTGAGCGTCACCGGCTTGGGTAACGTGCTGGGAGGGAAAGTCTGGGATGGGAACTGGACGCTGAGCGCGTGATTTATCCGGCTGAAGGAGGGATGGAAGATTGTTTCGCAAGGTGAAGGAAATAGGAAAAAGGGCAAATACGCTGGATGGAGAACAGGGAAAACAGTGCCGGGTTTTCAGAACCTTTCAACACGGGACGAAAAAGACAGTAACGGAGCGGAAAGCGTGGGTGGGATGGGATGAGGTCGAGTCACTTGAACAGAGCTTCCCTTGCTCGATCGAGGTTAGGACCAAAAAAGTAATGACTACCTAGTTAGTACCACCGTAATAGAAGAATGTTCAGCCAGGGTCGTTGATGTGTGGTGACATGTCAACCTCGACTAGACAAACAATCTATCTGCTTGTTAGTACTCGGTATGTACACTTCGTATCCAGCCCTAACACCATGTTTAGGACAGCGCCCTGCCTTCTTTACTCTGCCTCGCCTCTGCCTCTGCATGGGCCAGGTGCTTAGCCTGCTAGGTTTGAACAGGCGGTGGTCTCAAGCTTCGCGGATCAAGCCTGTCTGTCTCTGGATATTATGCCTCTTGCTTCTGTTGGAACCCACCATAATCTTTCCTGAGGAACAGCAAGGCCTTGTGGGGAGCCAAATCTGAAAGTCAGACACCAATTCTACACGCCTCTTGCATATCGTTACAGATCTGCTCAATGTCGTTCAATTCTTGGACGA